GCAATACATGTATGTACCCCTTTCATCTCAATCAATATATAGTGCAACGTCCAAATAAGGACAGAGGTGTGATATTATGAGATTATATATGGATATATCAGTTATTTGTAGAGCTGCCATGGTTGATGAGTGACATCATGGGTTGGTATTATCCACAAAAATACGGCTCATTACTAGAAGCAATCAGCTTTACACATAAGTGATATCAGGGGATAATTAACCTTCTTATCGAATGACCAACTCCAATTGTCCGATTGTGCGAACGTGTGTCTCGGCTACACTGGTGGCCCACGCTTTGCCGAATTTTGCTGAGTATACACATCGGGAATCCTCGGTCTTGCATGTATTTTAGTCATTCTCTGTATTCAGTTCAGATCAGATCACCCCAGAAATGAGAGTTGCCAAATAATATATCTTTTAGCCCAAATTGACCATATTTTAGGAAAGTAACTATTATTTGAATGTATAATTATTGAAATCTTTTTGAAATAAATCTTCAGTTGATATTATTACATGATCGTGTCATTGCACCATTTTGAAATAATTGTTGTTATTTAGTCTGAAGTTTTTGTATCACTGTGATAAAAAAACAGTACCACAGTCCACCGCACATATATGACTGTGTGGGAGCTCATTATATGTGTATTGATGGGCGTGGTCATCCTGATTTTGAGTTGTCTTGCAGGTCGCCATTACAGTATACATGTAGAATGGTTTCCACGAAAATTCCACTTACAATTACTCAAAACTTGGTTATTTGATATCAAATAACATAAAATAGTTTATATTGCAAATAGGACATTTCAAAACAGACTTGACTACTTTCAGGTGCCTGCATTACTTGCATATTGGTTTCAATACTTATTGTTGTGTGTTACTAATAAAATAATATATGTAGAACAACGTCCATATATGGTCAATTGTGTTACAATACAAGATAGAGTTGTGTGGAGTTCACTTGTGTGAATTATATTTCAGATAACCTATACAGTACAGTGGGGTGCCATCCAACACGGTGTACTGAGTTTGAAGCGGAGAACAGTCCGGAAAAATATTTACAAGATTTATATGACCTTGTAGATCAGAATAAAGAGAAGGTGATTGCAATAGGAGAGTGTGGTCTAGGTAAGAAATATGTAACGCAGTGCTTCATTGGTTGCTAACAAGGATATATGCATCATGCATTCTTATTTCAGCCAATCAAAATGATGGTTACATACAGTGACAGATTTAGTATGCTTATATAGGTGGCTTTTAGTTTTTTTGTCACTATATCAGCATTCATCGATGTCAATTCAGCAACAGAAATGTGTGAACTCAAAAAAACAAAAAAAAAAACAGTTTTATATAATTATATATATATATATATATATATATGATAATTTTTTTTTTTTTTTTTTATCATAGACTATGACAGACTCCATTTTTGTTCCAAAGAAATTCAGTTGAAGTAAGTGTGATACAGTAAGGTCTGTCTGTTGAACTGAACTCGGGGGGGGGGGAAAACTAGAAACTTGTCTAAAATGTTTGTACTTCCTGATCTCTCTCATTCTCATTTGTGTTCAGTGTAGACATGTTTACTGCATATCTGTAGGGACACAGTCATTTCAATGGTGGTTATGTGTATTGGAAGTATTTTTAGGAAAAATTTTTGTTTTGATCACTCCATATGTAAAGTATTTCATTTCCTTGGCTTTCAGATACTTTGAAAAACAGTTTCACCTTGCTGAGAAAACCAAACTACCGATGTTTCTTCATTGCAGAAACTCTCACGTTGATTTGATAGGTATGGACATATGTGTGTAATATCTGCCATAGACTTTTTTTATAGTAAGCTAGGGTGCTCCTTGACATTCTGAACACTAAACTGAGGTGTCATTCAAGTATTTTGAATTGCCACTGCATGTAAAATATTGAATGTAAAAAGGTGCTGATCTGATTTTGGTCATTAAATGAAATTTTTTCAAAATCCCCATCAATCTTAAATTCTGGAGACTTAATGATGCCCAAATTTTCTGTGAGAGAACACCTACCCTCGCCTTTCCATATGAGTTGTGATGATTATTATTTCATTATTATCAGACATACTGAAAAGAAACCAGGACAGATTTACAGGAGGTGTGGTGAGCATAACTTGTTCTTGTAAAAGTATTTCATGTGTGCATTTAAATTATCATGTGTTGTGAAGAATAATTAATATGTGTAATATATTACATTGAAGTCATTGAATTTTCTCTAAATAAACTATTAATAAATTTTTTTTTAAAGATTTGGTAAAGACCTGTAGATAATGGGGAATTATCACCATTTTGTCCAAAATGTTCAAAAAAAATATTCAAAAATACCAACATGCAAAGGTTTCACCAAAATGTGGGTGGGGGGGGGGAGTTAACATGCACTAATCATGTGTTTGCCATGACAATACAAATTTTAAACAATGAACTGAATCTAAATATGGGCCAGTATCCACAGACGCAATAATTTTTCTCCAAATATTCTGTATAGGATAGAGATCTATGGTGACCAACCTGTTTAATTGATTGTCTGTTTTCTTTAGGTGCATACTTTTGATGGTTCTAAGGAAGAAGCATCCAGTTTATTAGAAATGGGTTTATATATTGGGATAAATGGATGGTAGGTTAGACTGACAATTGTCTTAAATAAATACAAAATAATACAAATCCCCCAATGTGTTGTCTTACTTGAGTATAGTGACTGTAATGAAAGAAACATTGCCCCCAGAAAGTATGTTGTATCATTTCATGTTAAGTAGACATTCTATGAATTGAATTGTTAAATTTTGAAAATAAAAAGTACTCACATGTGGAATAAAAAAAATGCGATGTGGATAAAAATATATATTTTTTCTTTTGTTGCTTGAAACTGTGTCTTGCTGACCATATTTCAGTATAATTTATTGTAACCTAAAATTGTTGCTTTTGCAGCGCACTTCATATAATATTTATTGGGTGAATATTTTGTGCACATTTTCATTGTTTTATTGAATAATTACTTAGTTGTGTGCTAAAGAAGTGTAATACAATGTATTCATCAACATATCAAAGAACATTATATCATGGTTAGTCCTAATCTAGCAGTTTGGCTGAAGCAAGGTCATATATCTGGCACTAGAAGACTTGTGATCATCTCTCCCAAACTGAATAAACTGGCTTAAATATCGAACTGAATCGAGATCACACTGCTGTGAGATCTGTTCATAGTGATTGCAAGTGTATGATCAATTGCTTATGCTTGGCTATTATCTTCCGCCAAATATGCTAATTTTACCCAGGGAGTTCTTATATTCACTACCAAATAACCTCACTTGCAGTTTTATAACTTCTAAATCTTAAATATGACATGTTCTCATCCATATTGCTTCATTAGGGAATTCTTGCATGTTATTTTAGCAACACGCGAGTCAGCATAATGCCAACTTACAAGTGTGTATTTCATTCATTCATTATATTTTATAATATTTTGATGCTATATATTTCGTTCACAGTTCTCTTAAAAGCCAAGATAACGTTGATGTTATGTGTGGAATACCCAGTGAGAGACTCATGATTGAAACAGGTAGATGATCATATGCCTTTTGCTAATACATCATTTTTAGTGCCTTTTGAGATTACACACCATTCGGTAATTTAACATGTGAATGTGTTATATTCTACACTCTAAAGTAGGTACATGTATTACAGAGTGATAATAGTGGTAATCTGTTAATCTGGCAATTAATCCTTACATGATGGTCACTATTACCGATACTCAAATTTCTGACATGCCTGGTGGCAAACTAGCAATATTTTAGCAAACTTTTTTGTTCCAGCCTCTTTAAAAAATAATGTAAAATAATAAAGTTATTAACAAAATACCAGAATTCAGGTTCTCGTACATTGTTTGCTTTGGCATTTATGCTACACGATTGTTTGCTTTGTGTTTTCATTGATCTGGCAGAGAGGTCAAATGGAGTACTGGTACAATAACTCAAATGCAATAACAGGAGTACAATAACGACAATAGGTTACAGGGCTTGGTGTATAATAATATCATATATACTGTCATTACAGATGCACCATGGTGTGAGATACGTCCTTCACATGCTGGGCATAAATTTATTAAGACACAGTTACAGACGAAGAAGAAAGAGAAATGGACACATGGATTTGGTGTGAAAAGTCGAAATGAGCCATGCAACATCATGTAAGTTTACAGAAAGAAAATAAAAGTAAACCACTTGCCATCTGTGAATGAGTATGCTTTATTGCCCTCTACAGTACAAAACTTGGTAGCCTTTGTTTTTATAAAATGGTAGGTGAGGGCTTGAGGGGTCTTACCAGCAATTAGATTTCCATAGATGACAATGATGGTGTTTTAGTGAATTCCTCCAGAAAACCAATTTCAAAGATCCAAATACTGTTCTAATTTGCTGAAATCAGATGTATTTTATGAAATTCAGGCCAGTAAAGCACAAGTTCCCAAGCTCTTATAAAATAGATGTTAACAAAACACACAGATTTGTCAGTCTTCCTACCTTCAATATTCTCAGAAAAACAGCCAGTTTTGTAGTATCTAATTAGGAGTTGCCCAGATCCACAGGTCACCAGTACTTGTCAATAAACAAAGTTTACACAACAGCTGACATAATTGATGTACACTCTCACACATTACGTATTAGATAATACGTAAACAAAAGAAGCATATGATTTGAGGCCCACAAGTGCTGATAGGTGTCATTGGTGGTATGGAACCTACATTTACAACTTTCATGTTTATTTTTTCCCCTTGTAGTCAAGTGTTGGAGGTCATGGCGGCAGCGAGAGATGAAGATATTGTGGAGCTTGCAGATACGTTATATGAAAACACACAGAAATTGTTTTTTGGTGGAAAGTCCTGAATATAGACAGTTGTTTAAACAATTACATTTCGAATGCATGACTTCTCTCAATACATGATATGGTTTATTTGCTTAAAAGTAAGGAATGGAACATTTTATGATAGAACAAGTGTACTGTGTCATATTTCTTTGGTAATGAATTTTCTTTCACCATATAGATACATCACAGACTGGCCTTTTCTGTAATCTTACAAAGATGATCATGGTATATTGCGATGCAAATAAATTGATATATTTAAATCTACTTTGGAACATTAGTTCATTTTCATTATGTCTATTATTCAATTAAAATAATGTTATATATACCATTACAAAATACAATTTAATTTAATTATATTGAATTATACAAAAATAACAATGAAATAATTTCAAAAATAAACAAAACTAGCTAACTGGTTTAAATTGTTTTCATTTCTTGAACTCGAGAGGGAAATTATTTTGTTGTATGTGGGATCAGTGCAAATCCACACCAACAATAATTCTTTTTTAATCATTCAGCCATTCAGTTTAATACAGTGACAGTGAGGGAAAATAATCATAATATATTCATTCCCCATTTGAAGTTGACAGTATTTGAGAAGTCTTTGATCTAGGGAGAATTTGTTTTACATTTTTACAATACCTATTGTTAGAAGAACAATGTAGCCTTTTAAACGCAGCTTAAAATTTGAAAACGTGAATGCAATTCAAATATTTTTTGCAATCATGTCACAATTAAAATTAAACAATAAATTGTTATATGATTAAAGGAAGAGAATTGGAGACGATGAAAATATGTAATGACGCTGATGAGGAATTATCACGACTCTGTATGCGGTCTGTGGTGGTTTCCAGTCGACAAGAAGTTGTAAAGATGTACAGGTGGCTAAGCCTAAAAGTTGAAACAAGTAAGCTTATTGCGTGGTCAAGGCTAATTGTAATCGAAGAAATGAAACGAAACGGGATAACATACATAATGAAAATTAAACTGTAATCGGTGAAAATGCACGCACAATACGGAAAATGTTTGCCGAAAATAACAATATTTTATACGTAAATGGTTCGTTTCGCTAATTACAGATAATCAAAAATCTGTCATCATCGAAACAAGTTTCTCACACGTACAATATTCACAATTGTCGGATGAAACTTGACCAGTATATTAACCGTTCACTAGTGTATATAACGACATAAAACATTTGCCGAACATTACAATATTTAATCAGTAAATGGTGTGGAAAACCTGCTATGTAGTGCTGCTAATTTAAGTGGCTATTTTAGTAACACTGATGACCTGGGGTCACGTTCACCAGGAGCCGAGAACAAACTTCTTATTTATCGATTTTTATGTTGACATTTGTTCCAAAAGTCTAGTTATTATATTAGAGTCTCAATTATTGTTATGAACATTAGCGAAGTTCAAATATGAGAAATAATTCTTAG